CAGAGTGCGTGACGTATGTTAAGCGAGGCATAGTTGTTGTCCACAAAAATCAAAGCGTGCAGTTGCACGCCTAGAATAAGAAGATGAGACTTGATCGCGTTTCTCTGTTCCTCTTTTAAAATTAATTTGCTGTCGGTATCTTCCAGAACAGACCTAATAGCAGAATCTACTCACCCAAACTCTCCAGCGGCAGCCATTATTGTTGTCACCCAAGCGCGCTTTGGTCACGTGGTTGATTACGTTACTGTTGATCATCTGTCCATCATCGGATAAAGCCCGCCCTGACAATTTGATTGGATCGCCAGAGGGTGGGCGATCATACTCGCGCTACTATGGAGCAATGCCAGACCGAACTTCCCGACCTCAAACTTTGTGGGCGGGACTAAGTTCGGAATGGCACCCAGGCTACTGCATCTCAGCCTGTGATACTGTTTAGGTGTAATGGAAGCCAAGGTTGTTTTAATCGCTGCCTTCAGGTCATCTGACTTGCTGTGTCTTTGGTGTCTCCCATCTTCTCTGGTAGTCATTGTCAAGGCTTGTTCCCCAAGAAAGAGGTTGATTCTAGCCGGTCGGCTGTTAACTAGACGCTGCAGGCGCAATAGTATAGTCCCAGAGGTTGGAGAACAAACAGGAGATCAGATCTGACCAGTCAAAGAAAAGCAGGATAATCCAAAGCGCGAAGCCAAAGCTAGTGTCTAGGACGTGCTCTGGATTCAGAACCAGGAGATCAGAACCCCGCAGAAGTTCCAAAAGGAAATCCAGGTCGCTGTCAGGAATCAGTTCCATGTTCATTTAACAGATGTAACCCAGCAGGAGTCCGAAGACAGATGAGGCAAACAGATCAGAGGGGAACAGGCAGGCTCAGTGGTTTAGAGGCAGAACAGGTCAAGATCAGGTAATCATCAACACTAAGGTAACGCTGGAACACTCAAAACGGGCTTGAGAGATAATCTGGCACTGTTGACTGGTTAGATGGCTGGTTAAATAGAAGCTGGAGCAGGTGGATCAGATAAACGGTAATGAGAAACTGGGTGGAGTTAGATAGGTGAATGACATGAGTAATTAAGCAAGTCATCAGTGCCAAGATCTTTTTTGTGTTCCTAATAAAACCTAACCTACGTTTTGGATATTTGGTCTTTATTTCTTTAGTTTTGCTTCTTTATTATCTAGGGTTCTTTCCACATCAGAATCTCCAGACCTCTAAGTGTGTGCAAATGATACGTAATCACAACTAATACCAGTTTTCTTGTTGTCTCTTAGGCTGTTGCAGAGGAATATAATCAGCTGAAGGATCTAAAGCAGGTAAACAGACCTTAGAATATACTGTGATCTAGTCTACAAAACATGTCGTCAGACTAACATTTGATTAGTTTTTTATTTTCATATATTTTCAGATGATTTTCTTTTTTAAATAGATTCCTGGTTGTCGTAGTGCTGTGTTTTTATTATCTGACAAATATTTCCATGCATTTCTTCTGTGCTCTGCAGACATCAGATTTTAAGTCTAAGAAGAAGGAGTGCCGCAGACTAAGACACAAGCTGTTTCACATCAAGCGAATGGTGAAGGACTATGACAAGAACCACTGAAGGGGTCAACTGTGTTCCATCTCTCCGCGCATCAAAAACCTCTCAGACGTTGGTCAAGATACACTCCATAAACACTTCAGAGAAAGTAGCATGCTGAGGTCAAAGCTACAGCAAACACAGGCACATGCAGACCTATGCTGCAGCCAAACAATGTACAGGGAAACATACGGTAAAATTAATGATCAAGAGTTGTTTACTTTCATTTTCTGATCGCTAATTTATCTTTTCACCAAAGCAGAGGCAATGTTGACAGGTGTAGCATCTCCTGATAAAAACATTTCTCAGTGTTTGCACTGTGGAGACCACCGACTGCTGGGTGAAAAGGGTCATTTCAAGCTTATCTGCTAACGGGGATTGCTTTGCAGAAAACATGCAGCTCTGTTAATATTTGTTGTGACCTTGTTGCAAATGTGCTTTAGTTAAGCTTTTTCTTTCACACAAGTGTCAGTATTTGCAGCCACTTTAACCATCGGAGAGCTGCCAATCTGTGGGAACATTGTACTGTTTTTGTTCTTTTTTTGACTACTCTTAGGTTTTTATTGACTCTCAAATGTGATGAAACCAAAAAGCGGATAAACTGCCCAGTGTGATAAACTCTAATGTACTGTACACGCTTTAAAGGACTCAACTTTATACCAGGTATCAAGAACAGACTGATACTACATCCATTATATCAGTAAATATAATTGTGGAGCATTATTATACATAAAAGATGTGACTTTTTAATCATTTAAAATCTGGTTGGTAAAAAAAAAAAATCTAACTGGTTTTATATCGTCTATCATGAGCTTCAATATAACCTTGCCCAATGATGTTCATTTCAATCTGCTGTAATGTTATTTTTCAGTTAAATGCAAAAAGATCTGCTGTAAATTTTAAAAAATGCCTTTGATTTATTTTGCATTTTCATTTTTATGAAGATTTTTATTGTCTTTTTAAAAACCGTTTATGAGCCATTTATTTTTGTAAGACATTTATTTTCACTGTTGTTGTCATTAAAATCTCTTTTTTGTTCAATGTACACATGCATAAATTATGTTGTCTACATAGTATTAATTTAGCAACTAATAAACGTCTAATTCTCAACAAAACAGTACTTTTTATTACTGCTCCATTGGTTTGCAGAAATCAGTTTCTCTTGTACAGAGGACACCCAGCAGGGAGGGAAAGGTGAGTTTCTGCTTCATGGATCTTCAGTGAGCCACCAACAAGACCAGTGAGAGAAATGCTAACAGATGCTGCCCTCTAGCGGTTAAGCATAGTAATCATTTCAAAGATATTCACTTGTTGCACAAAATACATAGTATTGTAGCAGATGTGCAGCCTTGTGTTGTCACAGCATGTTGATTTGATGGCAGAAATTGTTCTATTTTATATGTTTGCTGTAACCACTTCATCACTGATGAGAACAGCAGGCAGATCCTGTTCAAGGGGCAATGGATGCATTAGGAAGAGATGGAGGCGACTGCTGAGGCGACAGGCTGTTAGGTGTTCATCTGTGCAGTGAGTGTAATAACCTTTACTCTTTAAAATAGTTGTGAAAATAAGAGTTGTAGTTTTGCTTCATCATACTGACTTATTACCTATATGTAGAAATATGTATTATCAAAGTATAGAAACAAAAAATTTGATTAATTTCAATAGTTTCAGGTAGAGTAAAGTTTTAATTTTGTTTTATGTTGTGTAGTTTTTGCAAATGAATGAGTTTCTGCTTTATGGATAAATAGAAAGGATTTGCTCCTGTTCTGAACTAATTCAACTTTCATCTATTGTTGCCATGCAAAGTAAATGCAGGCCTAAAATTAAACGTGTCTTTAACTCTGCCATCAAGATCATCCTAGTCTAAAAAAGTTAAATCTAACCTTTAATTAATGCTCTTTAATTCAGTCTTAACATACCAAATTGAAAGATTAATGTGTTTATTACATTGATTAATAATAAATGTATTAGGGCCTCTAACGATTTCAACATAATTATTGTAAATGAGGATTTTTTCTGAGTTTAGTGAAGTGTCTTCAAATATTTAATCCGTGTTTTGTAAGATCTATTCTGAGCAGGAAGGTGACATGATCTAAATGCCTCTTAGCTTCTCTTCAGAACAGGAAACACAAGACAACATGCCAGTTAAACAATGCAGATGTGTGTTGAGCTTCATGAATCAAGAATAAGCTGAAATAAAATATCCACTGGCCTGAACCTGCAAATTACACTGTAAGCCTAAAATATTGTCTTTCATTGAACTGAACTAGACTAAAGTTATTACTGCATCTTACTGTAGGTGGAGTTAGAGGTTAAGCCTGCCTGCTGCATTTAAAGTCTTTGACTTTAATCTTTTATTGAGCTCCTGGGGTTAAGTCTTCTTAGTTCAAGGATCAGTTCTTTAAAATGTGCGAAACATTCATCCAAACATTAATGGATCCATCCTGTGGGATTGATGTAGTAGGTAATAAGCTAAAGTGAATTTAATCTCCAAATGTATCAAAAATCAATCTGAAGAGCTTAAAAAAAGGAGATTTTTCTTTGTACAGCAATTAGAACTAAAAGTAATAAGAAACCTAATGCCTCTAATAATAGATGAGAGCAATATTTAATGGAATTAAAAACTATGTTTATCAGTAATTAAAGACATTTTTATTCATTTATGATTAAGTAAGATGGAACAAAAGAAGGCTAAGGTAAAACTAATCCTGCTTCAAAACTACAGATCAGTAGAACAAGACAGAGTTTGAAATATGGTCTAAATTGGCTGAATCCACGTCAGTTCTTGTGTCCTTTCAAATGACTTATCCAGATTTACCTAAAAGAAAGGGGAGGAGAACCCAGCATTTAAAACAAGCTGTACTGTTTGGTTCTGATGTTGAATCAAACAGGCAGATGATGTTCAACCTTTATCACACTGTTTAGTACTTCCTGACAGAGCAAAAGCTCTTCTGATCCACATCCTGTGAGATCTTCTAAGCTAAATTAAATAATAGTGTAGGTGGCACTAAACATCCTTGCTGTTAAGGACAGTAAAAATAAAAGTATTTTTAAGGACAGTCAAAATAAAAGTACTAATCTTTTTGTGGGATCTGGGTAACCTAGAGGCTTTAGTGAAATCAATTAGTATTTAAACCTGTTATTCATCATGTCTTATTCTGTAAATTAGCAGAATAGGATCAAAAATCAGATGAACATCCAATTAAACAGCTACTGCTGGGTCATATGGTTATCATAGTTTGGATGCATATGATCTCATGTGTATCATCTTATTATCCCCACTGGCTGCAGTGATAATCAGATGATATGCAATGCTCTGACTAGGCCTGTGGCTCTGTGAAGATTTTGAAGTGAATTGCAGGAATGAAGCCTACAATTCACTCCAAAGCCTTATATTCATGGTGGTTAGAAAATAACGAGTCAGCCAGACAAACTTCTTTTGCGATTTTTAGTTTTGGCATGGTCATAGAGACATGATTCTTTTACATGTTAAGCTGCTTCCACAGATAAATCACTAAAGTCAAAATACTAACAAATAAGCACAAACCGATGCACCAGGGATCATGGCTATCACTGCCTTTTTTATCATATAACAGGAAAAATAAGTCACATCAAAACTAAGCTTTAGGAACACAGTTTTTATCAATCATTTTGGCAAAAATACGTTTATTTCCACTGAGCTGTGGTTCATAGTCTATAAAATACCTGGATCCTAACAGCCCACCTGAACATGAAGGTACCTTTCATCATCACATAATTATGATTAAAGGATGGCTGTTACCTCTTTAAAGAGGATTGGAACTGTTGGAGAAAATGAAGATTATGTTCCTCAACATTTATAAAAGCAAAAAGAGCAGAATGCAAAATTCACTTGAGTCAAGCATCATCCCACATGAAGCTTATAGGATCTTTAAACATATTTTTAAATCTTCGGGGAGTAATGATGCCTCGGTTGATCCCTTTATAGTCAACACCAAAGTTCACCATACAATCTCTGTCTGTCATGAAGAAAACATGAGGTAATAGAGTCCCAAAGGGATGTGACTTTCTGAACAACCAGGGTGTGTTTTAAATACATTGGTCGTCAATAAAACACCATAGGTCCCCATCTTCAGAAAACGCTGATGCAATTACTAAAGAAGTGCCAAACTAACCCTTTTCATCTCTATACAATGCTGTGAACAGAATTTCCCTCCTTACAGATATAGAAATACAGATATAAATGTTTCAGATCGACAAACACATTTTAACTTCAGCTAAGGTGATCTGAGGAAAAACAAAAAGCTGGTTTTAAATGATGACTTTTTTTCAGGAGGGGAATAATGTTGAAAATTAACCAGAAACCAAGGTCTGATTACTGTTAGAACTGTAGAATAAACCAATTTTTGAAACAGAACCTGTTTGGCGGCATGAAGTAGGCTTGAACTATGAGACCCCTGGAAACAACACGCTGAGACATAAACCAGAAATGAGAGAAAACATGGAACAGGGATTAGCCTTCCAAGGAAAAGCTAACAAGAAAATTACTTCAGAAACAAATCCAGGAGGTCACAAAAAGCAGAGCAGAGCAGACACCAAATCCCTCGGCTTAGACCCACTTTGATGATTTAAAGGCACACTATGGACTTTGTCGCCTAAATAGTTGAGGCATATGAGTTATTTTAAATCATTCCTTAAGCCAATATACAGCGCTTGATACTATCAATTCTACAAGCGGGTCTCCATTCTTCAAATACTGACTATGTAAGCTGGGAGATGACGGACCGTCATTGGCCAGGTCATGTGACCTGAAAGAAAGTATAGCTTTATGGGCACAGGCTCTCATATAGTCATTGAGCTAACGCTTTTGCTCTACTAGTTTTCCCGCCTGCTCGACTACTGGTCATGTCTGAGGCAAGGAAAAAGTTTAAACCTTCTAAGGAGGCTAAAAAGAAAAACGTGAAACATGGAAATGAGTTTATTTGTTGGCGCAGGCTGAAAGAAGAAGCTGGATTTAAAACCGATTCTCTTTTCTCAACTTTATTATTAGAGTAGAAGTTAACACTTTGCTCCTAGTATACAATCATATATCTTTGTTATTATTTTGATGTTGTCAGGGTGTTGCAGTGGTTTCTGTGTCCAGCCTTTGTTTTTCTCCTGCTAGCCATACATGGTTGTTTGGCTCCGAATCCCACCTCTGAGCGCCACGAGTCACAGATCTTTGCTGAGCAGGTCAGCCTCTGGTCCCTTCCTCAGCCTCTCAGAGATTCAAGCTGTCATGCCTGTGCTCCATCAGTGCGACGCCCAGCTGACTGTCACTTTCCGCCACAGCGCAGACTCATCAGGTCAGTCCTGCCCTCTATCGCGAGCCTCTTCCTGCATGGCAACCACCTTCCTCACTGCAAGCTCCTGCATTTCCCACCTACGGACCTCACGCCGTAAGCCTTTTAGTGCTGTCGTGATAGTTTAACTCACGCTCACTTCGTCTCAAGACACTCTGAAGAAACTCTGGTACCCTAGTGGCCAAAAGTTACACAGTGTGCCTTTAAAAGACAAACTAGTCAAAAAGAAATAGATCAAGGGTGCTCAAGTCCAGTCCTCAAGAGCTACCATCTTGTGTCTTTTAGATGCATCTCCTCTCTAGCACACCTGAATCCAAAACCTTAATCCCTTCATTTAGCCCAGCAGAAGCGTGGTATTGAGCCACTCATTTGATTCAGGTGTGTTAAAATGGTTGCATCAAATAGTTGCAGGATAGTAGCTCTTGAGGACTGGACTTGAGCACCTCTGACATCTGTCCTAATGTCCCCTAAGAGTTTTTGGGAAAATGCATTTAGGGTATTTAGGCCAAAAGCGGGACCTAGTGGAAGGTGTGCGAAAAAGATTCTCTTACACAGGATGGTAGTGTGATGGGCTGGGACTGCTCTGCTTTAGGACCTGGATGTCCTGCCAAAAATTATGAAGCCATAAATTTGAATAAAGTAAATTCAAAAAAACAACGGGCAGTCCAGGCCTGGACTAAATACAGATGGGTTTTATGGGAAGAATTCCAACAAGCCAAAAACAAAGGAAATCTGTAAGGGGGCAAATGCTTTTTTCACAGCACTGTAACAGACTTGTATTTACATAACTGAGGATGACAAAGTCCATCGCCCAGGCTGCAGACAATTCATTCATTCATTCATTCATTCATTCATTCATTCATTCATTCATTCATTCATCTATCTCCTGGTTTCATGATATACACATGAGAGCTTCTGCATGATCCCTCCAACGCCTCCCAGCTTTGATCTGTATGTCGCAGTGCCCATGGCTGCTATGGCTTAATTTAGACTGGACAACAAAGAAGGTAGAGCACACAGAGCCTGGGTTCAACAAGAGTCACATTGGGGTGTCATATGGGAGGAGGTAGAAGAGGCACATGGCCTCATGTGAGAGAGCAGTTTAATGAAGGCCCTGTTCAATCAGAGAACGAGACGAAGCGAGATCAGCCAGAGGAGGGAACACGACTGACAAGTGCTGCAAACATACATCAGGACAATAACGCAGCGTTTCTATCAAATAACCTTACTGTCATTCCAGTCTAATTTCACAGGAATAGAGAGGGAAAATGTCTCCTTAGTTAGGATATGAAAGTCACAGCATGGAGTCCTGGCGATGCCTTCTTAAAGTCTGATCTCAGTCTGTCTCTCTCTGAAGGGGTCCTTTACTGTCCTGCAGCGTACGGCCAACTGATGGAGCTCCCTGAGAGCTGCATGTCTCGGATCAGCGTCTCGATTGGTGTTTTTCCCACCAGCCTCATGAAGAAGAGTTGGGAAATGAGATTTGCAGGAACGGCGCGCAGAGCAGGGAGGCGCAGCAGCAAGCGGCCAAAGCGTTGCGGCTGACTGGGGTATGTCAGCCTCTCGTACTCCGTCAGGGCGACCTGGGCCTTCTCCTGTAGGGACTCCACGTGGGCGGGGTCTGACAGGCCACATGCATCTGTAAAGCAAGAAACCAGATAAATCTGATAAATCTAGTGTTTTTAAACATGGAGCTATATCAAACCAATACTCACTACGTAAGAAGATTAGGACTTAAAAAAAAAAAAAAGAGTCAAACTAACAAAAACAAAAAATAAAAAAGGCAATTAAATTCTGACTTTACTCCCAAACTTCTAACTTTAATCTTAGAATTCTGACTTTAACTAAAAACTTTAATCTCATATTTATGATATTTTCTTAAAACTCTAACTAATTCTGATATAAATCTCAGAATCCTGACTAATTCTGACCTTAATCTCAGACTACTTATTTTTACTCTGAAAATTAAAAGTCAGATTACCGGTACTAAGAAATTTGTTGCCAAAGCCCAGGATTATAATTTTCATATAGTAAGAAATATTACAAGGAGTCATATTTCTATGAGAACAATTCTGAGATTTATACAAATTTTAAGAGTTAAGTCAGAATCAGTCGGCATTTGGAGGGTACAGTCAAAATTCAATAGCCTTTTTTTAATGGCCCTAACTTCAATTTAAGCCTAATTCCAATTTGATCCAATTTAAGCGTCAAACCAAAAACACTATCTGCAAGACAGATTCACCATATGTCCAAATGTCATGGTAATTAAAAGGACTATGTGAATTCAGTATTTAGTGACCTTCTCTGACTTCCAAGCATCCACGATCTGTACACCAGTTATATTATGTTTGGTGGACTCTCAATGCATTGGAAGACCAAAACAGACTTAATGAGATGTAAGAAAAGTTGTGGGTACATTTGATGACAGAAAAGAACAAGTTAATTTACAATCATTTGCTGGTATTGTATCTTTAACAGCATGGAGCCATAATGAGCGATATCTGAGGAAAAGGAAAAGAACACAGCAAAAGCTGAAACAGAAGCTTTTTGATCCCACCTCCTTAAAACCCGATCAGCTACTCTGAGCTACGTTTTAAAATAATATATTTTTTATAACCACTGAAATAATGTTTTATTTACCAAAGTGTCTCATCTTTAGCATTACTCATAGATTCAACTAAATAGTTAAAAATTAAGCAAAGACCCATAACCTCACGCTGCTCCCTGGGCGCCGCACAATGGCAGCACACTGTTCCCCATGGGGATGGGTTAAAGGCAAGGTTAATTTTGTTGCTCTGTACTTGTGACAGTATAATGACAATAAGAGCTGAACAAAAACAAGAAAAACTGGGAACAACTCAAGATTAAAATATGCTTCTTTGCCAGGTTTCTGTTATATCACTGAGATACTTTCACTTTCTTTTCATTACAGTACATTATAAAGCCTGTATGACCTGCAGTCTGAGCTCAGCTGTTATTAATTGATCAAGTACTGGGATGAAATGAGTAAAGAAATCCAAAAAAAGACTTGGAATCACTTTAAGAAATAAAAAAACATTTGAACATTATTCTTTGCTTTAACAGTGCAGTTGCTGTAAAACAGATTTACTGTTATTGTGAGGAGTAAACCGCTTCTAGATGTGGCTTTTAGTTTCTGATCTATTTAATAGCTTGTTGACACACATGTCAGACTGGTGCTTAAATGAGATTTTCTATTGTTTCCCTTAATTCAGTAAGGTCAAAGGTCAAACTCCAAAATCAACAGCCCCATGCAGCTGGAGAAGTTTTGTTTCCGTGACATCTGAACCCTGACCAAAACATCAAATGGTCTTGTTTGTTTTGGATTCCCTTAAAGAAGCCTGGAGTCAGATCATAACCAAGATATCACCTTACAGTAAGCTTTTAGCCATCTACCGAACCTACCAGGGGAAAAGAGGGCGATAGCTTTCAGGCAGCTGTACTCGGCTGAGTCCACCTGTAGCCGGTTCAGCTTGTCCACCTGGTCCTGGAAAACCCTGACCTGGTCCATGAACGACACCACCCGCTCCGCAGACATGGGGGACGAGTGGAAGCCGGCGGCTGCCAGCAGAGGAGCCATGTGCAGCGGCAGGGCGGACTGAGCCGCGTTCAGGATGAACAGCTCACTCCAGCTCAGTCTCAGTAGCGCTACCTGAAGGGTGAGATGGAAAAACTGTCAGTTAGAGAAGAGACTAACTCTTGGTCCAAACGATGATTACATTTCACATAAGTCATTTTTATTAACTTAAAAAAAGTCCATCAAAGTAAATTCTTTTACCTGGCCAAAAAATAGGAAGCGTTTTTAGTGTGTCTTTGATTTTGCAAATAAAGTTGTTTCTGATTCTACAGGACATTCTTACCTTATTTTGATGAATCTTAGCATGAAGGTATAGTGTAAAACTGGGAAGCTATAGTTTTAAATAAAAATAGCGCGGTTATCCTGTTTCTTTTAAACCTGAGATGTTTTTATGTTCTCCTGTCCGTTTTTTTTTTTACAATATATGAAACTATATTTTTGAAGGGCTGATCCCTGTAATTTTGACTTAACTTCTCAAATCTTTTAAAATCATATTTTTTTTCATTTATTTATTTTTCTTTTTACAAATTCACATATGAAGATATTTTGTTTGTTTTTTTTTTAGTTAATTTTCACCTTGGATCATGGCACTGATTCTATGTCAAAATCAGCATGAACTACATCATACTGTGGGCAGAAGAAGTTTTATGCCTAAAACAGTATATAATTGAGCATATATATATATATATATATATATATATATATATATATATATATATATATATATATATATATATATATATATATATATATATATATATATGTATAAAGAGTACAGTTAGTTAAGCTTAATTTGATTTGATTTAATTTATCAGAATTTCCTAAGTTCATTATTTTTCGACAATACATGTTGACCGAAGCGTAATTAAAAGCATATAAAGCTGAATAGTTTTTTATTTTGCTTGTGTAACTAAAGGAAAAATATGTTAACTTTATGTACTGACCTGTTCTGAGACTGGGAGTTCTGGGAAGTATGGGATGTTTCTGGCCCACTCGATGGTGCTGAAGAGGAGGCGGGCAGCCAGCTCACAGATGCTGTCGATGCCCATTACGGACGCCCCGCCTGCTGATGCCTGCATCTGCGCCTGGGCGTAGGGGGCTCCGTAACGGCTGTTGGTGTACGGCTCGGCCCGGAGGAGCTGGGAGATGAGCTCTGACACCGGGTTCCCATTGAAGTAGTCTGCCCCGAGGTGACCTGGACCAGGACCACCAGCCCCTCCAGACAGCGGGTTGGGACTGATACCTGAGTGAGTAGGAGGGAGTCGACCCCGCTGGACAGCTGTACGGAAGCATGATGGAATCATTTAAATGTAAGAGATCCACATTTGCTCATTGCCTTAGGTTAACAAAAAATACTAAACAAAATATACATTTATTTCACCAGTTGTACTCCTGATATGGACTGAGTGATGTATAGACATCTGGAAAAACCCCAGGCCAGGAGGTGAACCCATAACCCTCTTGCTCCAAGGCAACAGTCCTACCCACTACATCACCATGCAGCAAACATCCCATCTTGAAAGACATAATGCAATTTTTGTTGTTAAACATTGATATCTGGTTTCTTGTAGATGAATGGACTAGTTAATAATTATTATATTAACCTAATTTGCAAATAATAGTGTTTTGTTTGGAGAAATTCTCAAATTTTCACCAAGTGCTTGCAAACTAAATGTAGAAATAGCAGATATTCAGAGAGCAGTTACATCAAAGATTGATTAATGTAAAATTCCCCAACCTTATTGTACTTTTGGCCTTAATATAATTGATCATTTATTGCCTTGTTTAAGTAGCAGCATTTTTCTGCGTGTTTAATATTTTATGTCAGCACAACACAAAGGGGAGCATAGCTGAGTTGAACAAATAAAATGCAGGGTTTTGAAATGTATTATCCCATTTAAACACTTCATTAAGTACTGATTTCTGGTCATTGATTGATTGATGGATTTTATTGATCTCACAGTGGCGAAATTTACTCATCAAATCAGCTCAAATAGTCAAAGGGGAACTATGTGCCAAAGGAAGAAAAAGGTGCATGGATATATACAGTATATACAATGCGTTCACATGTGAAAACTTTTTTTCTTGTTGTTTATCATAGGATCATTATACAGGGTTATTGCACAAGGTGTTTACATGGGTATTTATATAGATGGATATTTATAATTATATAAATATAGTTATTGCACTGGGTGTCAAATATGGAGAAACAGGTTATTGCAAAGGGTATCAAATAGTAATTGCACATTATATATTGCACAAGTTATTGCCGTTGTTGTCTGGTTGCAGCAGGGTTGCATGACCTGCTGAAGCAATCCTTTTTACAAACAGGGTGTAAAAGTCTTTCACTGCTCAGCTCCTTTACAGTCTGATGCAGAGGGTGGAAGGTGTTGTCCATGATGGATGTGAGCTTGGACAGCACCGTCATGCAGTCCAAAGATTAGACCTTTACGGATATACAAACCCCCTTATACATCGTCTATTTACTAATACAACTTTCAAAGCCGTTTACTTTAAAACCACGTTAGATCTCCTCGGCGCTTTAATATAAAAAAAAGTGTTCGTAACAAGAACACCCATTTACTGTAATTGAAAACCTAAACACATATGGGACTATTGATTGATAAAACTGCTGTTAAAAAAGAAACATCAGAACAACTCAAAACATAGATAATAGCTGCGTGTTGGATGTTAAGGCGCATGTGCAGTTGTTTTCTAGGGAAACACTAGCTGATTGCTCAAGCAGTTTTCCCCTAGTTGTTAGGTGTTAAAAATTATAAGAGTGACATGAAGGAAATTATTGTTGAAAACAATAGAGATGCAAAAGCAGGAGAAAGAAGAATGTCTGGTGAAATCAGACCAAATTTAAATTTCCTGACCAAAGTTAAAAACTCCATGTGTTGCAAAAAAAAAACAATAACAAAAACCTGCACATGTCACAGAAAAACCATTCTCTCAGCAAAACACGGTGTTGGAAGAATCATCATGTGGGGAAGCTTTTCTGTAGTTGATTTTAATTTGGAAATATTGTAGTTGAAGCCAAATACAGGCAAAAATAACAGAGACAAAAAAAACCCCACCTTGGCGGGGGTTCATCTTCATTGACACACATTCATGTCTTGTCCAAATCATGGCCTAGTCCAAATCAGTCCAAGACTTGAAAAACCTTTTTTCAGATTTTCTCCAGACTGTCTGCCTGACTTTCTTTAATAGGCAATAAATCAGTGCTGAAACAATTAATCAGATTAATCGTGATTGAAATAATCGTCAACTTATTCAGTAATCAATTAATTGTTAACTGGAGTATCGAGATTGTAAAATATGCCTTTAGCTGACAGAGAAACCCATTTAGAGCAGTAATTATACCAATTGTAAAAAAATAAATAAATAAATAACATTTTGTGTTTAAGGAACCTTTGGCTATCCGATTATGAGTCGATTAATCGAAAAACTTATCGACAGATTAATGGATTTGCAAAAATAATTGTTAGTTGCAGCCCTAGAAACAATATTAATTTTAATGTCTAGATGTTCAGCTGGTAGAATCAAACCCCTGAATGAAGACTTACAGCTAAGAGTGAGCCTAAAACTGGTTCTACCTAGTATTGGTTCAGACAGGAAGTAAAGAGGAAAATCACAATTTATAAGAAATTAAAAAGGTTTAAGCAATATTTTTTTTCTGCTTCACAATTATGTGCAACTTTGTATTGTTCAGACTTCGAGTCAGTCCCGTACTTTGGCTGTACTGTCAAATAATGTGAGGAAATGTAAACGCTCTGAAGACTTTTGTTCTGTTTCTCGAAAGGATGAGGGAACAAAAAGAAAAGCTTTGTGTTGATGAAGAATTTTGTTTTAAAATCAATTTTCTTTTCTTTTTTTCAAAGAATATATTATATAGATGAAAACATTGCAGAGAATTATCTGTATTAATAAAGAATTGAAGAGCTGCTCAGAGTTATTGATCCATTTAATCAAAAATGAGAGAAAATAAGGGCTGTTTAACCTCCATCAAATAAACAAACACCACAATATAATCATGTATACCAGCAGAGAGAAACCTGCTCCCAAAGTTTATTATCTGTCTGCTACTGAAACATTTCCTCACGTGCAGCTCTGATGGAAGAACCTCCTACAAAGGAATCAGCTGACCTGGCCAGAGTTGAAGCAGACGTTTCCAGGTAAAGTGGAAACAGTTGGACCTGCGTCACGGCTCTAGTCAGCACAGTTCATTAATAACTCTTTCCAGTGTAGCTGCTGGCCAGCTGCCATCTCAGTGTGGACTATGAATGGCAGAGCACCACAAACTGTAATACAACCACACTTAGATCACCTACAACTACCTAAAGAACAACGCCAGCTGGGGTGTTATAAATGGACTTTAACCTGGCTTTGTCACACCATTAAAGAGAGTTAAAGATAAATATATATAAAACTAATATCTGATTCTTGGGTGTAGAGCAGGCTCAGACTGGTAATCTGTGATACTGGACATTTGCCCATTGGGCCGGTCCTAATTTCAGTGTGCGAGTGCAAGCCCTCCTTAACTCATACCAGCCCCAACACTTACTCTCTGATCGAAGCACCTACCTGTGACAGTAAATAACTGAAGGAGCTCAAGAAGTAATACAAAGTTCACTACCTAATTGATGCACGCAGTATATATAGCCCTTCCTTGTCATGCACATCCTTGTGACGGTTGGCACATGGTGTAATTTTCTATTTCTTCAAACTGTAAAACCATATTTCTTTAAACTATAAAATCCTTTCAACAAACTAAATTATAATGAACAAAAGTGTTTTCTTTAAACCAAGCTACGATGTTCCTCTTATATTTGGCCAATTTATGTTCAAATATTTAGCAGAAATATGTTGCGGTGCATGATGGGGTTTTGCATCTAAAGGCTAACCATTCCCGTGTTACGTGCATTGTTGCCAGGTTGGGATGTTTCCCAGTCTGGCAGCTTAGAATGACTGTCTCTGGGTAAAAAATGTTTTTCTTTAGATTTATGGCCTAAGCGATCAATAGACTTTGGTTCAAATTGGGCGAAATTTCGTATATCCTGGTGGTTCATGAACATTTTTTGGGCTTGAAAACGTGAGTCAGTGATGGTGCTCTATGTATGAGTGGGGTTCTGGCTGTCTTAGTGCAAGTGTGGACGCTACACAGCAGCAGTCACTGTTGCATTTGTGTTAATAACCAAAGCCAGTAAAACCCATTTATTGGTGGTGGTTGTCAGAGATGGCAGAAGTACTCACTTTCCATACTTGAGTAAAAGTACAGATACTTACAGTACGGTATGTTAAAAATACTCTGGTAAAAGTGGAAGTACTGATTAAACTTCTTTACTCGAGTAAAAGTAACAAAGTACAGGCTTGTAAATTTACTTAAAGTATAAAAGTAAAAGTAGAAACCACTTTTTTCATGCCGTTGCCTACATTTTAAATGGATGTCTGCCAATAGGACTAGATCTCCTTTGTGTTCATTTTCAATCATCTCGTCGTCCATACTACTATGCTAACGCCACCGCCACCAAGCTGCAATGATTTGCCGCGAATTAATACCGCCAAATTTGTCGATTCATCTTGTAGTGGTGCGTCAAATGCATCGTAGATTCCCATCCAATTAGATTGAATTTGGTATTGATGACGTGAAAAATAATAACGGTAACTCCATTGAAATGATTCAAAACTAAAGTAACGAGCCAATTTTTTAAAATGTAAGGAGTAGAAAGTAAAGATATTTGTGTAAAAATGTAAGGAGTAGAAGTAAAAAGTTGTCATAAAAATATGTAGTAAAGTAAAGTAAAAATATCAGAAAAATCTACTTGAGCACAGTAACGAAGTATTTGTACTTCGTTACTTCCCATCTCTGGTGGTTGTCATGTGATGCTTGAAAATAGATAAGTTAATCCACAATGTGTATTTGTATTGTGTTTCAAATTTGAGATGAACGTGTTTGACTGTGCTTCTATTAATTTATTTTTCGGGGTGGGGGTCCATAAGTGGGCCGGTGTAGATAGAAAAATACCAGGGCTGAAAATCGATTCCAGTCCGAACCTGGTATAAGTACGTGTTATTACAGTAGCTCATTATGTGGGGTGAATCTGTGGAAACAATATGACGTGGATCTCAGCGGCTGAGTAAACTGAATAAATTCTGTAGAATCATGAACTTTCCTTTTCCTCTTAATGTGAGGATCAAACTTAGCTTAATTTCCTGAAGTCTGTTGCTGCAGGAATGCATGCAATAGAGTGTACACAGGCTCTAGTTGACAATATAAACACTGTCCTTCAAGCACATGCACACTCATTTTTTGGGGAAGTGCTAACACCAGAAAAAGTTGCACTCATCATAAAATGTATTGTAAGGAAGACTTACTGAATCTTCATTAAGCTGAAAAGAACAACTTTAAAGCTGGCTTATTTCAGGTGGAAACAAAAGAATGAAAAAATACCCCTAATCCATCTCCATCGATCTTGACATGGGAGCTTTATATGACAGCGGGTCAGAGGCAGGGCCAGCGTGAAGGGACAGTTGAGAGAGACTTGAGTGACGAAGGGAGGTGGGCAGTTGTGAATAAAATCTATATACTAAAATTATTAGATTTTTTTGTGCATTTTTAAGATAAAGATAGAGGCCTAAAATAAAGGCATAATCATAAGCATTTTTATGTATTAGTCCATACTTAGCGACCTGTTAAAATACACAATAATGCAGAAAAAATGGCTTCTTCTTAGTTTAAAATGTTTCCTTTCAAAAGCAATACATTTTGGGAGCAATAAAGAAAGACAAACAAATGTTCAGTTTTAAGGGTATTGTGGAGGATTTTTTTAAAAGACCCACCCTCTCCACTTAAAAAAAAAAAGCACGTGCAACAGCGTGCACAAGCCCATTTCTCCTTGTGAACACCCTGTTTAAAATGTGCTGTTCTCATAGCTCATTTAAGCTTACTGTGTCCACATACAGCACAGACTATATAGTGGATTTTATAGCCAGCTCAGTTAGCTGACCATTCAGACAGATGATCACTGCTTTCTGCTCCGTTGGTCATGTAACTCCTCCTTCACTGCGAGGTGCCTGCGCCATCTTTGTAAGTAGTCGCCACTGTCAGGGTAACGACAGCCAATGGCACCTGTGACCACTGTGACAGCAAATCCCAGAATGTTTTACGAGAAGAGCTCTCTGCGCAAAGCATGCTGGGATATATCTGCCCGATATATATTTGCCCGACCATTTTCAAAGAAAAGGTGAGCTTCAATGATTGTCTGAAACCGTAGCTTACCACGGATAAACGCCTGAAAGTGAGCATGCGCAGAAAAAGATAGGTAACGGGGAAAGCACAGAAAAAGATAGGTAACGGTGATATGTTTACACTTATGTAAACATATCACCGGAATGATCGACAGTTAAGGCCGATTTATACTCAGAAACCAGGTCTTCTGTTTATGTATTGCGGAGAACGCAAATGTGCCCCCACCCCTTCCTCAGACACTCAACTTCTTCACTGCCTCTACCATATCTAGACCCACAGCTAGTTCCTGATTGTCCCTCTTGTGTTGTGCCATGGAATAACATAGCACAGACCATGCTTTAATATTGGGCATAAATCAAAAACATCTGCGACACACTACTGCAGGGAATATACCAAGCCCTTTAGTAGGACCACGTATTTAGATGATCCACCTGGAAATAAAATATTGTCCTCTATACCTTTAAATATATATACACTATATTGCCAAAAGTATTTGCTCACCTGCCTTGACTCACATATGAGCTTAAGTGACATCCCGTTCCTAATCCATAGGGTTCAATATGACGTCGGTCCACCCTTTGCAGCTAGAACAGCTTCAACTCTTCTGGGAAGGCTGTCCACAAGGTTTAGGAGTGTGTTTATGGGAATTTTTGACCATTCTTCCAGAAGCGCATTTGTGAGGTCGCACACTGATGTTGGACGAGAAGGCCTGGCTCTCAGTCTCCGCTCTAATTCATCCCAAAGGTGTTCTATCGGGTTGAGGTCAGGACTCTGTGCAGGCCAGTCAAGTTCATCCACACCAGACTCTGTCATCCATGTCTTTATGGACCTTGCTTTGTGCACTGGTGCACAGTCATGTTGGAAGAGGAAGGGGCCAGCTCCAAACTGTTCCCACAAAGTTGGGAGCATGGAATTGTCCAAAATGTCTTGGTATGCTGAAGCATTCAGAGTTCCTTTCACTGGAACTAAGGGGCCAAGCCCAGCTCCTGAAAAACAACCCCACACCATAATCCCCCCTCCACCAAACTTTACACTTGGCACAATGCAGTCAGACAAGTACCGTTCTCCTGGCAACCGCCAAACCCAGACCCGTCCATCAGATTGCCAGATGGAGAAGCGCGATTCGTCACTCCAGAGAACGCGTCTCCACTGCTCTAGAGTCCAGTGGCGGCGTGCTTTACACCACCGCATCCGACGCTTTGCATTGCACTTGGTGATGTATGGCTTGGATGCAGCTGCTCGACCATGGAAACCCATTCCATGAAGCTCTCTGCGCACTGTTCTTGAGCTAATCTGAAGGCCACATGAAGTTTGGAGGTCTGTAGTGATTGACTCTGCAGAAAGTTGGCGACCTCTTCGCACTATGCGCGTCAGCATCCGCTGACCCCGCTCCGTCAGTTTACGTGGCCTACCACTTCGTGGCTGAGTTGCTGTCGTTCCCAAACACTTCCATTTTCTTATAATACAGCTGACAGTTGACTGTGGAATATTTAGGAGCGAGGAAATTTCACGACTGGATTTGTTGCACAGGTGGCATCCTATCACAGTTCCACGCTGGAATTCACTGAGCTCCTGAGAGCGACCCATTCTTTCACAAATGTTTGTAAAAACAGTCTGCATGCCTAGGTGCTTGAATTTATACACCTGTGGCCATGGAAGTGATTGGAACACCTGATTCCAATAATTTGGATGGGTGAGCAAATACTTTTGGCAATATAGTGTATGTTAAATGCACGATATGCATGATGGATCGATAACATCTTGCAGCGCAGATGTAGTGATTTCCACAAATGTATCCCCTAAACTTTTCATTATCTGTCATGGTACAACACTAACACAATTAAATTAAAGTCTTATGTAATAGATATGCATAAAGTAGTGTATCATGTAAAAGAGTGTCAAAGAATGCATAATTTTTACTACTCTTTTCTAATAAAGGTTTTAAACCTATTCCATGTTTCCGGATGTTCGGGGTTGTTGTCCATTTTCAAGGTGAACCTCCACCCCAGGGTGAGGTATTTATCAGCCTCCAACAGGGTTTCCTCTAATATTGCCCTGTGCTTGTCCTTCTAGCTCTGGTAATTTGACCCTGCTAAAGTAGGGAACCTATGCAAATAATGTTTTCACCACCATGTTTCATAGAAGTGATGGTTCCTTCATAAAGACTAAGTATGTAAGCCAAAAGTTCAAGCTTTGTCTCCACTTTACAATTCTGCACTACTTTGTGTTGGTTTGACATGAAATTATAGAAGTATAGATTGGAGAGTTGTTGTTGTAAGGAAACAAAAGGCTGAAACATGTGTAAAAACTTTTACGAGCCAGAAGATGCATTTAAGCTGGAAGAACTTTCAATACCTTCTTTGCGCATCCCGACACGGAAACACTTCTTCAGACGACAGTATTGGCACTGGTTCCGATGATGCTGGTCAATTTGGCATTCTCTGTTTGATCTGCATGCAAAAAAATAATAAAATAAAAAATCTACTACTTTCCATTTTACAGACCCCAACCTGCTCTTTTATTTATTAATAAATTTTTTCTATCTCTAGTGAGAAAAGAAATTTATGCCTCTCTCTGTTGCGAATGAACTATATGAACCGGGTGCAAAGCTAGAGAGACTGTGACCTTTGTAAATCATCAGCGTTACACACCCTTGTGTTGCTTTTTACAGCAGGTTGAGCTCTGCCAACATTTTACAGGGAGCCCTTTTCAAGCCCAGATGCAAAAAGAAAAACAGGCAGAGTTAATGCACTTTTCTGTGGAATAAATGAGTGAATTTGGCAGCTGAGAGAGAGGATTTGGTTTGAGCAAAGGGCTGAGCTGCAGCATTAAAGTAGCAGCGGTGAAGAATAATGGGAATGTTGACCTTCTGAGACGATCCATCCTCACATGACAAACCTTCAGGGTTTCATTTGTGCTCCTTTTTGTTGCTTTGTCTCGAGGCTGTTAGGGGGATAAGCTCAGATTTGAAGATATCATCTTAGTGGGAAATTAAATTCTGTCCTCTATAGATTAGATATCATAGGTACCAAATAAAAAAGGAAAAATCTTAATGTTACTTTTTTGGTTTATTCATTTTATCCGTATAGAAAAGCACCAGATACAGCAGTATAACAGTTTTAAACCATGTTCAATTCAGTTTATTTATATAGCACGGATTCACAATGCGTCATCTCAAGGCAACTTTACAGTTTACGAGATCATACAGTCAAATTGATTTAAAGTTTTCTATCTAAGGAAAATCAGTTGATTGCATTGAATCATTGACTCGGATGCAATCCCTTACACTAAGCATGCTTGTAGCGACAGTGGAGAGGAAAAACTCCCTTTTAACAGAAAGAAAACTCCAGCAGAACCAGGCTCAGTGTGAGCGGCCATCTGCTAAGACTGACTGGGGATCAAGGAGACAGAAGCTTCATAGAAGCTTTTTCAGAGAAAGTGTCCAGCTTATGTCAACAGTAAGCTAAAATGGTAAATTGACTTTAACATCCTTGGTTGTTTCTTTGATCAGAAAGGATGATAGATTTTGCAGCAGCTCCTACCTGCAGGAGTAGTTGAGGTTCCTCCTGATGCTCCTCTTGAAGAAGCTCTTGCAGCCCTCGCAGGTGAACACGCCGTAGTGCTTACCGCTGGACTTGTCCCCACACACCACGCAGTCCACCACGCCTGCCTTGTCCTCGTCCCCAACGTCCACGTCGCTGCTGCCAGCCTGGGGTGAGTCGTTGTCCTCCTCCCTCCTCTGGTAAGCCTTCTCTCCCAGTCCATTAGTGTCACCGTTGGGGTTGCCCCATCCCCCGCTCACCATGGCCATATTCTCTGATCCAGTGAGAGGATCATAAACGGACCTTATGCTCTGTCCACCGGGCTTTTCTCTTCCCCAGGAAGTTTGAAGGACTGATTCCTAACTCCGACACCAGGACTCCTTGTTTAGATTCAACCAGCTTTGTCCTGAGATATCTGAAGGCAGGAGCCTCGCCTGCGTTGACCTTTCTCCCCTTTGCTTGTCTGGCTGACTTGACCCCGGAGCTCCTTCCTCTTCTATATTTTTCCTCTCCGTTCTTTAATCCCTCTGCTCTCTCTCTCTCTCTCCTCTTATGTTCAGCCCTGACCTCTGATCAATGGCTCTTGAGCTCTAAGAAAAAAAAAACTTCAGACACACATTAAGTGGTTCAGAGTTCAGGCAGGAGTAAAGGGTGCAGCCCTGCTCTTTTCACAGGAAACAATAAATTTCACTTTGACTTTTTCTCTTTCGCTCTCACCCGTTGTCTACAACATCTGCTGCAAAACGTAGATAAAAAAAACGCCTCACCTACCCTTCACCATGATGAAAAACAGCATAGATCTACTTTCCCTCAATCAGACCGGCAGGTGAGAGAAAAATACAACACAGTTCTCCTTCAGGCAGGGTTAAACTGCCCTGCCCTTTCCCCAACTTATAAACTTGTCCAACCAGTTCCTACCTTGCTGCTATCTTCTGATCTGAGCACCTCCAGTCCAGACTCACTCTTGACTTGTTGAGGCTTTTTTTTAAATGCAGCCAATGGTGATTAAAAAATGAAAAAACAAATATTTGATTCTTCCTCTCTTCTATTTTTTGGAAATGACACCTTAAGTTAATGTTTCTTCTGACTCAGCTACTTTCTGTAGCAGCAAAGTTAACCAAAGACGTCCTCCTGCTCTGCCCTCTGTGACGAAACTCTTGTTTTCTCTTGCTCCTTCAAAGCCAATGGGGTCAGAGGATCAAATGTCAGAGAAAAAAAAACAAGCCAAAACAAAGGCTGGGTTGAGAAATCTCCTCAGTCACAGGCTGCTCTCCTTCCTTAAAGTCATGTCTCTATTTTCTTGTTTTGTCAGAGCTTGTCCATCGCACAGTTACATCCAAAGACCAGAACCTCCCTGCTGCAGCTGCCAGACTGTTGCGCTCTTCCCTCTCCTGCTCCTTCCCTTTCTTGTTTTTCTGCCTGGCCCAGGCAGGAATAAATTAGCCCCAACAGGGCAGGAAAAAAACACAGCGCCCTTTTCTCTTCTAACCAAACTCAGCAAAGGAGTGCAGCCCAGAGATAGCCTCCTCTTCCTCCGCTTCTCTCCCTCCTTTAGGGAGAGTGAGCGTGTGTCTGTGTGCTGAGGGATTTGACACTGCTATTCAAGCACTGCTGTTGCCATGGCTCTGGATGCCTTATAAGGCCAGCAGAGTCAAAGAGCACAGAGTGGGCTGCAGCCAAACCCACACACACATAGAGAAAGAATGCCGGGCCGCCTGACTGACTGCCTGCCTGCGTTCCCCCACTGACCCCAGGGCCAGCCTGGGAGCACAGGGGCAGGGGGCAGAGGCGTAGCCAGAAAATCCTAATAGGGGTGTCCAGTCAATAACCAATGTACATTGAGGGGTGCCAGAACCTCAGGGTCAATCTACACTGTTCAAACAGGAACAACCACAACATCCATGTTTTCCGAATAAAGACTAATTATACTTTCCTACAGCCTTTGCTAACAAATAGATGCAGATATATAAACATCCATACTGTCTAAATTAAAGGTATAGTGGACAAAAACTTCTCTAATATTTGAGTTCTGGGGCGAACATCTTTTACATTGTCATTACCTACTTCTATTAATTGTCATTCTGCAAAAAATTGATATTTACATGTACTAATATCCACATTTAATGAATGTTTAAGTTATTATTAAAGTAGTTATTTATCTCTGATTTCACTGAAGAGTCCATGATGACTTGCAGAGACACATAACTTTATCTTTACCCCCCAAATAATTAAAAAATTTGTTTTGAAAAGAGCATGAATTCTGTATTTATCATCTTTAATGTTAGTCCATTGATACGCATGTGCATTTACCACAGTGTTTCTGTTGTAAAGTAATTGTTAATATATGAAAAAATGTAAATATTTAATAAGTTTGAACATTTCCCTTCAGAGTATTACTGCTGCCAGTGTCTGTATTAGAGGGATAAAATGGTAGGGGTGGCCACAGGGGGGGCCAATGATTGGCTAAGGGTGGCCCCCCATCTAGCTCCGCCCCTGGGGGTGGGGGGGTGGTTCGACCTCAGCACAGCCGTAAGACAAAGAGGAGGGGGGCGAAGGTGGAGGGGTTGGGCAGCGAACAACCGTACAACCGTCACTCCATGTTCTCCTCTCCGCTGTAATCCCAGAGACCTCCTCCGGCTCTGTTGACCCAATAATAACAAGGAGCGCCTGTTGTTGTTGAGCAACTTGTCAAAAGGTTACATGATACTCCGCTGGCTGCTCTTCACACCTGCCGCTCACACTCACAGGTCTGTGAAGGATGTCGCAGATCAGGTGGCATTTAGTTTTAATTCACACCTCCTCTAAGGAGCCAAATAGTTCATTTTATGCCTTAATGATTTAAAGCGCCTCACTAAAGTATTCATACCCGTTTTTACAGGTCAACCCCAAAATGAAAGGGTATTTACCTAGGCTTTATGTGAGTGAACAAAAAAAAGTAGTGTTTGAAAGTAAGGTGGAAGGAGAAGGATAGCTCTGGAGGAGCTGGAGAGACTCACTGCTCAGGTGTTGACAGCACAACTAGCAAAGCAGAGAAAAAGTAACCCTATGGAAAAAAGTTATCTGGTTAGATGAGACCAGATGTTTTGGCCTGCATACAAAAAGTGTGGAAAAATCCCATCACTGCACATCTGTCTGAACACAATACCAAACCCATGTGGCAACATCATGTTGGAGGAAGAGCTAGAAACAGGGCAGTCCTGCAAGAAAACCCAGTCGAGACTCCAATAGATGTGATATAGACACAATCTCACTGCAGCAGACCAGCTACCTATTAAAAGGATTTCTAGTATGTTGGATATAACCCATAATGCATATTTAATAATAACTATGCATATTTATCTGCTCTTTAAAGGAAGAGGGATCCATTGATTGCATGTTGAATTTGTTATATTAAAGTAGAAAATACTTAAACTGCAGCTGTTAATGGAAAACAGTGATTAATCAGTAATTTTACACAGGAGTGGATTTCTCCTTGAGAAGAGTGCAGGGACTCAGTCAATCTGCTGACACCTATCTGACCTCTAAATCCAGACTTGTGTGCTGGAGGTTGAGGCGTGTGCTTGTGCAGTCCAGAGGGAGTCATGTGCCTGTCATCAAAGCATTTAACCTCGACACTGGGAACACCAAGGAGAAAAATAAACATCTTATTTATAAGATCAGTAGGCATGCTTTTTCATGATCACTACAGGACTGCTTAAAATAGATGTAAATAGATGTTATCTTTTTTAACTCGCAATCATTTCCTAAAGGTTTAAGATCAGATCTCAGAAGTTTGCATTTCTCCTTCCTTCCTTCCTTCCTTCCTTCCTTCCTTCCTTCCTTCCTTCCTTCCTTCCTTCCTTCCTTCCTTCCTTCCTTCCTTCCTTCCTTCCTTCCTTCCTTCCTTCCTTCCTTCCTTCCTTCCTTCCTTCCTTCCTTCCTTCCTTCCTTCCTTCCTTCCTGTTTTTGTAAAAAGGAGGCAGTCATTAAACGTGTTGACCATCTCCATACCTCCTATTAGGCAAAAATGCTGTGGTTGCTCTGGATGCTGCTTCTTTATTGACAATTAATGCCTCCCGCATGCCTGATGGAAAAGTGACTTATTTGACATAGACAATATGAGTACTTTTAAATAAAGAGTGAAGGATTGCACGCTCTCACAGATATTACTTTAACTCTCTGCATGAGTCACCCATCCATCGTCTGGGCAGTCGGCAGGGCTCCTGTGGTATTCCTGCCCTGTTTTCTCTGTTGTTCTAACAGCTTTGTCACGTGAAGGTCTCCATGAAAAGAGGAGGTCAGAATAAACAATCAGAGCCTCCATCCAAGGTTTCCAATAACAGCCTCCAAACACAGAGCAAAAAAACAAAAAACAAAAAGGCAAACCAAAATACAGACAATCTGAGGTAATCACTTCTGCTTCCAAGCATGGCCAATTTAAAGGGCCTCTGTGTTCAACATAAAGTGTTTGCTCATCACATGATTTTACTGGACTCACCCCCCCAATGAATGACAAAACATGCAGTCCCTGTCGGCTTTATAAGAACTAGTTTTCTCTCACAAAAGCTTAACAGTCAAAGAATTGGATGTAGATTACAAAGCTTGGAGGAAAGAAAAGAATTTCACTCTTTTTGTTGTTATTAAGGGTTTTTTTCCCCATTAGCCTTGTAATGTGAGCATTTGGTAACTTTAACCCACTTCCTTCACAGCGGGACTCTTTGAGCATGGTTAGACCTTTTGTTTGGCAAACAAGGTTAACAGAGAACTGTGCTGAGCTGCTGCAAGTTGAATTAGTGCTTTCTTCAAACTTCACATGTGCCAAGCCAATTTGAATAACTATCTTGTAAAAATCTTGCAGAGTTCATAAGCTTTCTTAAATATAAACTATCCAATGTGAACAGTGCAAATTTAGTAATCATTCATTCTTTAGAAATCAGAACTATTCACCAAAGTCATTGGATACAATGTGAGAAAAGGGCCCTGCAATAAAAACTGCTTTTATGTTTTCTGATGGTTCAGTGCATTTATTTAAAGATGGGTTTTAAGAAGGAAGAAACCTTCTACATTTCCAGAGACCTGTTGCAGGTTTGATTGAAGATGGGCGGGTCAGTCGTTTGGCGCTGCAAAAAATACTGAAAAAGAACATCCAGCCATCATGTGACCTTATGCTCAAAGGCACTTGGGTCATGCAGCAGGACAAAGGTCTAAAGCTCATCAGCAAGTCCACCGCTGAATGTATAAAAAACTGAAGACTTTGATGTGCAAAGTCTTTCATGTTTAAAAAAAAACCTTTCAAACTATTCTGAACAGGAGAGCAGGGATTCACTCTTCCACGGTAATGTAGAAAACTCATTGACAGTTATCATAAGCACTTCATGGAGGTGATTAAACATTTACCGTAGGAGGAATGTTTTCACTTTGGGCCATGTTGTTTTTGAGAGCTTATATCTTGATAAGTGAATCACAATTACCCTTTGAAGGCTCTATTTAATATAAAATAGCATTTTCTGACCTGATTAACTGAAACATACACACTGAAACAAAAAGTCATAATAAATTGAAAACTAAACTGAAAGTTTAGTTCATGTTTAAAACAACATTAATATCATTTGCTTTTAGGAGAAGGTAACAAATAAAACTAAACCCAGTCAGAATTTATAACCCATAAAAATGAACCTAAGAATGTAACAAAGTGGAAACAGCTTGATTAATCCTTTGATATATTACTGGAAATCACATAGTGACACCAACGTAAACATCAATGGATTGCATTTAAAAAAAAATACTAAGCATATTTAAACAATGAGCAAACAAGTAAAAGTGAGAACTAGTTATTCCGTGTGCAACAGACTCTTTAATTTTTGCAGAAGACTGAACAAACTGAAAGGTCAACTCATTGACTTCTGGCTCGTCATGTGTTTTTGTCATCTGGCTTGTTTGCTGTGTGAGGTTAAAGCAGGAGAGTCGGTACACATTCCTGCGTGTGTAAAAGCAGAACATGTGCAGCTTACGTATTTGTAGGTCTCTTTGTATGTGTGTGTGTGTGTGTGCGTTTGCTCTTTGAACTGCAGGTCAGGAATGCAGCTGCTCTCAGTGGGAAGTCGACTGTGGTAGTCTGTACATTCTCTGCACATTCGACAGTAAGGCATAGTAACCTTCTGTATGTCAACATGAACCCAGTGCATACTTGCACAAACATCTCAAACTTATCTTTGAATGTCTCCTTTGGTTTAAAACTCTGACAGCACAGCAGGATATGTAGAAAGCACCAACTATTTAACATAGACTCACAAAAAAATAATAATAAGACTGCATTTTTGCTGGTATGAGCTACATATGCTCTCTAAATCAGGTGAAAAACAGACAATAGGGAAAGGTCAATGTGCTTAAGGTTGACTTTTTATGAAAAACATTACCCTGCCTTAGGAATTTTCTTGCACTTTTCATTTAATAAAGCCTGTGTAGGATGAGGATGAAGAAATGTCCAATTAGAAAAAATATGTCGACCAAAGCACAATTGATCTACAACAGAAGACATAAGCAAAAAATTCTCTTTTTGCACATTTTGTTATTTACTGCCTCCTGAAACACTCCAAGTGCGTAAAAAAATAAACTTTTTGCCATTTTTCACCAAAGAATAAATGTGGTTGTTGTCCGATAGTTTGTCCCATTCAAAATACAGACAGATATATGACAGACCTGATACTTTTATTTATTATCATTTATTT